ATATATATATATATATATATATATATATATATATATATATATAAAATAGGGTGGCCCTTATTTTTCGACTTTAAAATTTTTTCTGCGGTACTCTCCAAAAAGTTTCCATTTGACAAAAAAGAAATCCCTGCCAAACTTTTGCTCGATCGGATAACGAAAACCCGTGCCCCCAGGTCGTTAAACATTGGAATACTCTTGTACTCTTAAGCTGTCTACGTTATCAATATGGTTTCTAAAGCGTGTTCTTCACAAAAATCATCCTAGAGGACTTTTCTTTTTTCTTATATATTTATTTATATATTTATATATATATTTATTTTATATTATCGTAGAACGTATATTTTTAAAAATATTGGTGTGGGAAGTTTTGAAATAAACGGTGTGCGTGTGTGTGCGTGCGTGCGTGCGTGCGTGCGTGCGTGTGTGCGTGCGTGTGTGTGTGTGTACACAGAGTTTATTTTAAAACTTCCTACATCAATATTTTAAAAAATACACGTTCTACAATAATATAAAATAATAATACTAATAATATAAAATAATAATAATAATATAAAATAATAAATATACGTTCTACGAAATAATATAAAATAATAATAGAAATGTTGTATGATTCTGAGGGGACCATAAAAGGCTACTACTATTTGTCTGACCTTTGATGGAAGCGTTAAAGTCACGCCAAAGTCAACTTGATTTTTTTTAATGGAACCCCGTACTTTTTATTGCATTTTCTTGCAGCTTATCTCAAATGCTTCTTAAAACACTATAAAGTAATTTTTCATTAAGTACTTTTTAGGTAATAACACTTGAAAGTTTTAATACCGCCGGCATTAACATTACCCAGGTGTACCACACAGAGGTTGTTCTGTCGGATTTATCTCTTTCGTATGTGTTACGGTACTCGAGATTCTACGATTGAAAATAAGAAAAAATAATGCAAGAGTATGTGACGATTCGAGATTCGTCACGACGGCCGAAACAATAATTACAAGACTAACAAAGAAACGCCGAACAACCGCGCGCGGAATAACCGCAAGGTCAACAAACAGTCGAACTGTTTGTTATAACTTAGTATAAAAGCCGACAGAAAATTGATATCGAGAGAGATTGATCGGAAGGCTCTTCTCAGGCGCACGACCGACCAGAACTCAAAACTCCTAGAGATCCTAGACATCCCGTCGACCGAAGTGGATACGCGACGTCGACATCCTTCTCCGATACCGCTCTACCGACCGAAGTGGATACGCGACGTCGGTTTCCATACACCGCTCTGTCGACCGAAGTGGATGCGCGACGTCGACATCCTTTCCTCGATACCGCTCTACCGACCGAAGTGGATACGCGACGTCGGCTTCCTATCTGTACCTCGCTCCGTCGACCGAAGTGGATACGCGACGTCGGCATCCTTTTCCTCCTCACGCTACGCCGCTAACACCTACGATCGCGAACGCATACAGGGCGTAAGATAACGGTGACAACGAGCGCCTTTAAACCAGCAAGGAAAGACCAGGATAGATAAACAGATTAAAGCCGATGAGGCAACGAACTCCGAACGACGAACAATAGTGTATCAGGAAACAATTCCGACCGCGTCCCGCCTGACGCTCGCGCGCCTCGACGCTCGCAGCTGATCGCGAGACGACAACAACGGCTCCCGACGAGAGCAAAAACGCGACCACGCGCCAACGGCGTAACGTCGCCTGTAAATAATTGTAAATAGCTTCGAAATTAGAATATAGTTCCACATTATTATCACCTATACCACTGATTTTCATTTCACACACGAAACCCGGACCACACCGGCTAAGACTATCCCGCACGTAACGCAAGGCCGTTACAAGTAAACGTAAAAAAATTACGACTGGAAGTTTTTACGATTTCACGTTTTTTCCCATTTTTCTTAATTTTCCAAGTTTTCCCCGCTAATGCCCTAATTTTCATGGTCATTTTCGAATTCTATGATTCAAAATACACAAGAATATGTAACATTTTCTCGTTTGAATTATAATTCCCATACCCCCAATTTTACATATTCTCCTTCACCTATCTTATATCCGGCGACTCTATTTGAATTAATATAATTTTCTTGACTGATTTAACACTAAACCGACAACTTATGTATACCTATTTATGTTTACATATATTTTTTAGAAGAAAGGAAACAAGAATAAAAATGAATTCTGAAAAATTGATTGTATCATATATTAAAAGAAAAGTCGTGAAGTTATATGTTGATATGATAAATGCAGAAATTTTTAAATAAAATTTCATTTTGAAAATAGTCATTTAACCGGTCGTGGTAGGTTTAGTGTTAATACTTTAATTGTTTTAAATACACAAATTTTTATATATTATATTTCTAACAAGGAGAACACGAGGTGACTGCTGCGAGGATTTTAATGCGCTTTTTACAAGCTGTTCTTTGGCGAAAAAAATCGACACGTGTCCGTCCGTTTCAGCAAATGGGCCAAAGTTTCGAAGAAATCGATTTTTAAAAATAATTTTTAAGAATAAATTTTTAAACTCTAGTCGGTCGCGGCACACTTAATACATTCGATCGTCACTATTGAACAGTAGCAATGGTAGCGCAGTAGGTAAGACGTTGGCTTCGTACACAGTAGGTTGCGTGTTCAAATCTCGTTTTGTACATTTTTTTTTATTAAAAATTTGTTCTTACTTGTAATTATTTATATTATTGTAGATATACACGAAAAAGATTATTATTTATTTAATTATATTGATATATTTTTCTTGTAAATAAAATTTAAAAATTTTTAAATAATTATAATAATTTGAAAAATCTGAATAAAGAAATATTATCTTTATAAATTTTATTTTAATTTAATGTTACTAATTTTTATTACTATTTAATTCTAATAAAATTTTATAAATTTACAAATTAGTAGATAATTAAATATTCATGTATATGGAATAATTATTATTACCGTCGTTGTCGTCGTCATCGTTGTTATTTATATGGACATATAAATAAAAATATAATAAAAACGTGAGTGATCGCGAGCGACATGACGAAAAATTTTCTAATAATTTTCTCAAATAATACAGGATCTTTAAAGAGTAACATGTCGGCAGCTTCACAGTCTTTGTTTATCATTGCGTGATTGATAAGGAAAAAAAGAAAAATAAGACAACAAATAAGAGAACAAATTATCTGCTAATTTGAAAATTTATAAAATTTTATTAGAATAAAATAGTAATAAAAATTAATAACATTAAATTACAATAAAATTTATAAAGATAATATTTTTTTATTCAGATTTTTTAAATTATTATAATTATTTAAAAATTTTTAAATTTCATTTACAAGAAAAATATATCAATATAATTAAATAAATAATTTTTTTTGTGTATATCCACGATAATATAAATAATTACAGATAAGAATATATATTTTAATAAAAAAAAATGCACGAGACGAGATTTGAACACACAAAATCTACTGTGTACGACCATCTTACCTACTACGCTACTGCTGCTACTGTTCAATAGTGACGATCGTATCAAGTGTGCCGCGGCCGACTAGAGTTATTTTTAAAAATCAATTTCTTCAAAACTATGGCCCTTAAAACATGGGCTGAAACGACCGGACACGTTTTTTTTTATCCAAGAACAGCCTGTAAAAAGCGCAACAAAATCCCCGGAGCAGCAGTTACCTCGTGTTTCCCTTGCAAGTTTTAATTAATATATATTTAATATACTTTATATTTGTATATATTTAAAAATGTTTCAGGTAATATCTACAAACAAAATGTGAAGATTTTCACGGAGAATATTCGCTGTACCATTGGTGGAGGTCTTGCGATGAAATTAGGAAACATAGCCCGCATAGAATTGAATCTAGTTACACCACTAATGTTTATGAGGAGCGACGTGCTCCAACAATTTCAATTTGGTATTGGTATGCAATACCTTTAAACATTTCTTACGTTCCAGTAGTCCACGTGTCTTTTATTATTCCTTATATAATTGATTGAGTGAGATAATAGAAAGATTATATAAATTTGTTTCTGTTATTGTTACTACCTATAATAACACAACAATGATACTATAAATGTAAAATATTTGCAATAAAGTCAAATACAATCTATTATTTTTATTAATTTACACAATTATAGCACCAAAATCAAGCAACAGTGCTGCGACGCCAAATACATAAACAACAATGACAAATTAAAACTTTTAGTTCTATGCCATTTTAGATTAATGAAGTCAGAAGCGAGAAAACATATATCCAAAATTGTTGCGTGCCATTTCTGTATAAAAAGATATTTCTATGAAAAAACAGCTCTGATTGTTTGAGCATATTTATGAAATGCTTTAGAAACTATCCTTTTCCCTTGAGAATAAATAGATAACTGTAAAATCAATGTGACATATTGACAATACAATTTTCCCTTTAAATTTATTTTTCTTTATAATTTTGCTTCGTTCATTTTATGCTATTATTGCACCCGCGACTTCGCATGGCATCAATATCGATTGGTATCGATGATCTCTGTAAAAGTAATTGCAGTTTGGACAGAAGAAATCCTTTCTTGACAACGAATGATAAACAACATAGAAGGAGGAGGGCGTACTAAGTGACGGTGGGACACCATGGGTTCGAGACCTGCGTTTCTTTTCGTTCCAAAGAGAGAAAAATATCGAAAGCGCAGTTTGCTAGGCCGGGACTCGAACCCGGGTTTTTCACTTGCCGGACGACTGTTCTAAATCACTGAGCTACCTGAAGCTCCACGCTCACAACACTCTCCTCTCCCTAGATTACGTTCAGAGATGCCGTTCGAAAGCGACATCTCTGACACTATCCCAAGCGCACGGCGACTACAGAGAGAAACATTGTTACTGTACCAAACGATACAGCTGTCAGTCTCTCAAAATCAAAAGTTACTATCTTTTAAGACCTGCTATCCATGTATATCCGTCCCCACCGTTGCCCCTCCTCATCTGGTGCAAAACAGCTAACGAGAGAGTATTATGAGAACCTTCAAACCGGACTAACATATGACATTTCGGAATACGAATTTGTGATTTTCCGACCGATCATTTCCAGCACGACTAAAGTTGTATATACAAGCTTAATAAAGCTTAATAAAATAAATAACATTAATTTTATAAATGTATATATTTATTTCGGACATAAGCGTGAATGAGCGCAACATTTCAGAATCGTAAACATGATTGCAAACATTCCGAAATCGCGGATTTACCTCTTGCTGCATAGTATTACTTATGGAACACCTATCATTTAAGTTTCTTTTTTCAATAAATCAAATTTTTTATGTATTCTTTTAGCATGTTTAGTATAACTGGACTGTGCTAAAAGATTGCCCTAATTACCCGGGTAGGATTTTATCGGGGCGTGCCCCAAGTCCGTAAAGGGCCTAGGTAGGCATGTCTGTTAGAAACGCGGTCGATAACTTGATCGATATTGTTACCATTCAGACACATCTAACGGAGCCTTTAGGTACTACGTGACTTTTCCTCGTCGTACGTTCTTTGTTTGTATTTCGCTATATTGTATCTTTGTGCGTGCAATAAAGAGCTTGTATTGTGAAGACGTGTTCCCGATTGTTCCGTGCGTTACAATGTCCTAAAATAAGCTTGGCATTGTTGGGTTTAGATAGGCATGTCCTAAAATAGGCTTGGCATTGTTGGGTCTAGATAGGCGTGTCCTAAAATAGGTTTGGCATTGTTGGGCCTAGAAAGGCTCAGCAAAGGCAAATTCTGAATAGAATTTCCTATACAGGCCCTGAATTGGTACTGTTGGGGTTCGCCTAATAAGGCCTACCTCTGTTGCGCCTAGAAAGAATCTACAAAGGCAAATTCTGAGTAGAATTTCCTACACAGGCCTTGAATAGGCACTGTTGAGATTCCCCTCACAAGATCTGCCACAATTGCGTCTAGAAAGAGCCTATAAAGACAAATTTAGAGTAGAATTTCCTACACAGGCTCTGAATAGGCACTATTGAGATACCCCTAACAAGGTCTACCACTGTTGCGCCTAGAAAGAGCCTATAAAGATAAATTCTATGTAGAATTTCCTACACAGGCTCTGAGTTGGTATTGTTAGTGATGCTTCTAACAAGGCTTACCACTGTTGCTCCTAGAAAGGGCCTACAAAAGCAAATTCTGAATAGAATTTCCTACACACGCCATGAATAGACACTATTGGGGATGCCCCTAACAAGGCCTACCATCCTTGGGCCTATATGTGGCCAAGCATGTGGATTTTTAAAGGAGCATTCATAAATACATTTAAAATAGACATAGATGTGAATGTCCGTAATAAGACATGTACTTATAAGATCCTGTCAGGGTCTCGTTTATCCAATTTTTAAAGTAGTTTAAAGTCTTAAAGAATTTTAATTTACAGTCTTAGACTGAAGTAAAATTCATTAAATTTGAAGTGACACCAAAATACATATGATTTGATTGACATGCACTTTCATTCATTTTCAAGAAACTTTTATTTTCTGTCTTCTGGGCATTCGAAGTAAATGGTACGGATGCTAAAGAGTTAATAGCAAATGTTTAACATATATTAGTGGATAATAATATTTTGTTTAGTTGTGCAATCAATGCAATTAGTCTTGAAGAAATGAAAGTTGATATTCAATTTATAAAAAATGAGATGAGGGATATTAAAATATCGCTCAATGCCACGCTTGTAGAAAGAGAAATGGGAGCAGTAGTGGCCAACATGTATATGTTGAAAAAGAAATATGCACTCAAATTTCCCATGTCTGGAGGTGGAGGAAATAAAAGAATTGGATAGCAAAATAAAAGAGGAAGTTGAATTTGCCGCTGATTTCGTAAGTTTTATATTTAAATTTAATTATACAGGGTGATTGAAAATAATTTTAGGTTTGTCAAAAAAGTATCTTTGAAAAGATTTCATCCGTACTACTACTTCTTGAAATGACTTTTTATTTTGCATAACTTTGTTAAAAGTTTAAGTCTTCAATTAAAAAGCAATTTCTTCAGGTAAAAAGTATTTCTTTTCTAACGGGACGAATATAGAAGATAGGCAGTAGCGGCGTAGTTGGTTAACAAATGTAGGCGCTTATGTGAGGCGACTCTGCTGTCGTATCTAACGGTGAATTGCGTGCTTACTTTCTATATTCATCCCTTGATAAGAAAACTATTTTGTTTAAGTTAAAAACTAGATTTTGGACAAAATTTTAATATGATAAAAACAGTCTTAAAATATTGACAGTATAATGTCTTTCCAAAGACTCAGGATTGTTTTCAATCATGCTGTATGTATTTTCATTTTATCTGTCATTTTAAATGTTTAAAAATTCTTTTTACAAAACGCTACATGATTTTATTTGTTTTTGCTAACAGAATACTGCGTTGCATAGTATTTATATGAGTAATGTAAGCATCACGAAAAATTTAACAAGTATTTTTAAAGTACTAGTAACACGAAACATACTTATGATGTATACTGCAACAAAGAAGAAACATGGGAAGTGCTTATTCAAAGAAATACATTACAACTTGTATTTAACGTTATATAGTAAGAATTATTCTTAAATATATAAATATATTGCTATTGTTAATATAGTAAAATAATATGGTACTTTGAATATTTTCATAGATTTCTTTACAAAAATACACGCCGACAATAACAATAAACTTACAGAAGTTTTCTTTGGAAAATGCCTAGGAGTGGTTATTAGCGGAGCAAAAGACTGGGAAGGTCACCGAAAAAATAGAAATCCAAGTGTTACGTCACGAGATCTCGAGACGTCATCTAGAGAGAAGGAAGGCAGATATTAGAAATCCGAACTCTTTTTCGTAACCCTTATCCCTTAGTCATCCTCTTAGCCTTCTTCCCTTTCTTTTTCTTTTTCCTTTTATTATTCTATACTTCTTTATTACTCGTATTTTCCCATTCTCCCAGTAATCCAAAAACTCCTGACATACATCATTCAATGTCATTTTATGTTTCTTATAATCGTTTCTAAGAACTAGCGACTTCTCCGACGATCGGGCCCGGGGTAGCGGCCCCAAATATTATAATCTTATCATTTCAGAAGCGGATGGAGAAGAGAAGAGCCGACTGAGGTAATAAATAACATTTTCCTTTTTTTTTTGGAAAATACTCTGCTCGGTGCTATCGGGCGGCTAGGTACCAATTACCTAGCCGACCCCGATCCTAAATAAATACTGTAAAACTAATAAACCTTGTGAAGCACCGATCAGATAATTTCTCTCTAAGTTACGCATTTTTTCCGAGACTCTCCATGAATCACTCCTCCTTCTCATCCTTTTCCCCACGAACCTCATTGGTTATCAAACTTCCTAAACCCTACTCCTTACCCCTTTTCCCGAAACTTCCATTGGGCATCAGATTTCCCAAGTCCTCCTTATCCATTCCTCAGAGAAACTACTGGTCCTCCAATTTCCAAAATCACCCCACTAATCGACCATCCGAAGGGCTCAAAAAGGGCCTCTCTGGCTCTATTTCTACTTCCCACTTCCATCTTCTCGCTGGCCGTCGTTGAGAACTCCAGGGCAACTCTTCCGCTGGGAACTTTCAAGGCATCATCTGCCGAAACACCTTTCTTCACTGGCAACACCGTGGAGAACACGCCGAGGCCCTGCTGACGCTCCGGCTTGCCGATCATCAACACGATCACTCCTAATCCTGTCCGTATCATTTTCCTACGAAGGCGTTACTAGTCCTACGCCCTCGTTTATTCCGCTTCCCTATTTTCCGAGCTACTTGCTCATCGACGACGTTACTAGACCCACGTTTCCGATCTCTACACTCCTCATTTCCCAAACCTCTTATACGAGTCTCACGAGTGTAAAATAGTTAGACCAGATTCGACCACACCAGGGCAATACTCTTCTTCAGCCGCAGCCAGCGCTTCGAAATCTTCTGCATCACAGAAGGAACTAGGTGACTAAAGTGAGTCGACAAATATTATTATCCCGCGCTTATCGCCGTGCGTCGTTAATATCGTGCACTTTCTTATTAATAAATTCCCCGTTATTTTCGTCCTCCAAATCACCTTCTGATTATTCTTCATCGATTCCTGACCTTGCCGTGGAAGCGGAATAAAGAGTCGCGTA